AAAAAAAAAAAAAAAAGGGAACGAATGTCTATAGTCAATTATGTGACTACTCTTTTATGAAATATTGTTAAATCTTTTAAAGGCAGGTTGCACAATACCCTGGAAAATGTATTAACTATATATACTTACAGATCTCAAAATATATATACACACACATATCAGAAAGCAATGGAGAAATGACTGGAGCAATTTTTCACCAAAATGTTAATAGGAATGGAGGGATTTTTAATTTCTTCTTTACATTTCTCTGTGACCTGATATTTCTACATGAAAATAACTATTGTTAGAATCAGAATAAGCCATTTACACTTGGGAAAAAAGAAAAAAAAGCCCTGTTCCTGCAGTGAAAGAAAAGAAAGATGATCTTACATACATCAGATAGGCACCTACCCCCAGGAATCTGAAAACCAAAATCCACCTCCGCCCCAACTCAAATCTTGGCCCTACCTGTGTGAGGGCCGACTCCAGCATGTTACAGAAGATGTTGAACTGTTTGAAGTTCCCTGTCTTGTGAGTCAAATCTTCAATGACTGGGTGGGGAGAAAAGTCCCTCCTGAGGTCTGACCACTTGCCCAGCCCAAGTGCAATGCATCTAAGCTCTCCAACTCTCCCCAACTTCGTCCCTCTGCCTTGAGGAACAAGGCCTACAACCCTCCCCACATTTGGAGAGCTTCTAGTCACAAAGAAGAGGCAGTTGGACAGGATCTTGGTGGCCTCATCTTCTGGGAGAAGCTGATCCCGGGGGAGGAGTGGTGAGCCCACCCTAGGTGGGCACACTCACAGCTGGCATCAAACTCGCCCCTCCACTGGTCAGCCGTCATCCGGTCCTCCACTTCCAGCTCCAACACCTGCCCAGAAACCACCACCCGCACGGCATGCTCCACGCCCCGGAAGATGTAGTCGACCTGCAGGCCAGCAGGCTGGTCCATGGTCAAGGTTGCTGGAGAGAGGGATGAGACAGAGACCCAGAGGGGTTAAAAGCCCAGGCTCATGAACTGGAAGGCCAAGATTCATATCCTGGCTCCATCATTTATCAGCTATGGCACCTTGGGAAAGTAGCTTCACCTCTCTGTGCCTCAGTTTTCTTATCTAGAAAATGGGTATAATTATGGCATCTATCTCATGGAGTTGTGAGGATTAAATTGGGCAACAATATAAAAAGCATTAAAACTGTGTCCTGCACATTGCTCTGTCCAATACATGCTGGGTAGCAGATGACCAACAAAAAGATTATGATTAATACATTTAGTAAGCTAGGCATTACACTCATTTTATATTTATTATTATTTGTTCATTTATTCATTCAGCAAACATTTGTGAAGAAAAATTCCGCTAGACAGGGAGACGAAGGACTGGAGTTGAGTGAGACATAGCTCTTAAATAGGGTATCACAGCAGGCCTCCCTGAGGACATGATCTTTGAGCAGAGGTCATATAGCAAGCCATGTGGCTATCGGGGGAAAGTGCTCCAAGTTGAGGGAACAGCCAGTGCTATATATTGTCTATGATTCACGTAAGTCATTCACATTGAATTAATAATTTTATTGATTAGTCTGTTATAAGCATAAGTACCTTCTCTTAGCCAAGAGAGCTACCACTCACTGTTAGTTACTTGAGGAAATGGAGAAAAGGATCAGACCTCCACTCTCAGCCCAGGATTTTAAGAAGTAGTTCAGAATGGGGGTTCTGGGCTGCCTGGGTCCCTATCTAGGTTTTTCTGGGCACACATGAGCAATTTACTTAACCTCTCTGAGAGCCAGATTCTTTATCTATAAAAAGTATACACCCTGGGTGCTGGGGATGTGATGAGAAACCAGATGATGTCCCTACTCTTAGGAAGGGACAATAGACAGATGTATAAAAATGCCAAGTAGGGGGGAAAAGGGGTGGGCTGAAGTGGAGAGAGGAAGCATATGAATACCCAAGGCAAGAGTGTTCAGGCAATAGGCAGAGCCAGGCAAAGTTTGAGGGTAAGATGTTCCCAGTTTATTCTAAGAACAGCAAGGAGATCAGTGTGGCCAGAAGAGAGTGAATGAGGTCGAGAGGGCTAAGTGATGAGATCAGAGATGTAACAAGGACCAGATGATGATCATGAAGGCCTCTGAACCCATAAGAGGATAACAGCACCCACTTCCTTGGATTGGTGTAAGGATTAAACGAATTAAGAGTGTTAAACTCCTTGAAGAAACTGAGCAATGCCTGACAAGTAGCAAGCATTCAATACCATACAGCATTATTGACGTTTTAGTTGCTACTATTACTTTGTTGTTGTTTCTGAGCTTGAAGGAACTACTGAGAAATCCATGCTCTCCCCAGTGGACAGGTGAGGAAACAGACTTAGCAGGAAAAAAGGCAGGACCCTGTTCAGGGTCCCCCACCTATTCCAAAGTCAGAGCCACTACGGGAGGCCTCCTCCAATGCCTGATCTCTTCTATTCCTACCACCTGCTCTATAGTCCTCACATTTTCCCCAGAAAGTCCTTTTAAAGTCTAAGGTTGAAAAATATGTTGTGAGGCAGAAAAGGATGAGTCCTAAAACCATAGGTCAGTGATTTTAACCTTTTTAAGAGTCCCCAGAGTTGAAGGTTGCTGTGAGCTGTGACACTACAGCACTCTACCGAGGGGACATAATGAGACTCCGTCTCAAAATAAAAGAATAGTTCCACAACCTTTGCAAGTAATTGAATTAAAGGGCTCCCAAATTACCATCCCCAGGCCCATCCACAGATCTCTTTTCTCAAAGGCTCAAAACAACTTGAGCCCCAGACATTCTGACAGATGCCCCCCTCCCTCCCTCTGCCCGCTTTAGCTTTATTTGGGGACAGGCTGCTTTGAAGGGGCTGATGCTTTTATTCTGAGGATTCGGAGGTCCGGGTTAATAATCCCTGATCTTGCTGCAAACAAATCGCCAGGCTTCTCCTTGTATCCCTCTCCCCTGACTCCGCCTCTCCGTCCACCGCAGATTCCGTGAGCCAATCAGCGGGCAAACTCCTCCTCCATTACCAAAGCGTGGGACTAAACTTAACTTCAGAAGAGATATACAGCATCACCGCCCCCACTCCTGGTTCCCAACTCCCGGGAAGAGACCAAGGAGAGGAAGGGGGCCTGCCACACCTCACTCGCCCCGCCAACCTGGTCCGAATCTCTTTCTTCACTACCCAGCATAAGCCCCGCGTTCTCACCCTGCGAATAGCAGCCCCTTCCGGCATTCAACTGCCCAGTCCTTAGCTTCCTCCCTGCCCTCAATCCCAGAAATTAAGCCTCAGAATATTCTGCCTGAATTCAACTGTCCCCTTACACAACAGCCTTCTCTTACCTCCACAAACTTCACCCGCTCTCTCTCCCAGGCCCTCTTCTAGGCATAAAGCTCAGTAATTGGTGATGGAATAAATCCCACATCCTTGTCAGCTCCAACCTGCTTCCCTGAACCCAGTTCCCCATCACTCATCTCCCCAGACAACCACGGGATTCTGGGCTCCCCTTATCCTCCTCTCTCCATACTCCAGCCCTAACCCCTCATGCTTCCTTCCCCAGAAACCAGTCCTCTCTCCTGCTCAAAGTCATTCAGCTCTCCCAGATTGAGGAGAAGACAGCTACACTCTCCTTCCCCCTACACCAGCCACCCATGTTACCCCAGGGCTTAACCTCAATTCTGCGCCCCCCACCCCCATTACTCAAGCCTACATCCTGCCCACGTATTTGCTCGAGGTTCTACTCCACACACCTCACTTTCAGCCTGTATTTATCACCTTTACACTTCACCTGGATTCTCTTCCCTCACAAATTGTGTGCAAAACCCTCCATTCGACCCGCACTCGTTTTCCACCTCTTTGCTTCGGAGAGTCCTTCGTGAACCACCCCCCCCAACACCACCACCATTCCCACCCGAGATTTCCCGGGCCCTGAGCCCTCCCCCTCCCCATCCACCACTGATCCTGTCCCTCTACCTGTATCCTCTCTCCTCGCTTTGTGACCAGTAGCTCATCCTGGTCGCTGATTTTATTCCAGTCCCATGTCTTTCCTAGCTCCTCTTCTCGGCCTCAGCCTCCTGATCCGGCATCCTAGAGGTGCCTTCGAGGCCCCGCCTCCACCAGCCATGACGTCAATACCCCCCCTGGGGAGTGCTGTGGACACCCCACTCAGCTCCCCATTCTGGCCCACAGACCTGACTCCAGTTCTCAGGCTTCACGACACCACAGCTTCAGTACACTAACTCCCAATTTTCCAGCCTCCCGGCTCTCTATCAGCATTCACGGCGGTGACCCCTTCTCCTTTCTAGTGTTACCTCGCTGCCCCTGGCTCCTCCTCCCAAATTGATCTCCTGGACAGCCCTCTCCCCCAGGGCAGAGCTGCAAACCCTTCACACTAGGCTTCCCAAAGACAAATCCACATCACCACCTCCCACACCCAACATGGGCAAATCACTACCACTGGCAGCCTCCACCTGATGGCCACTTTCCCACTCTGCAGCACCCCAACTCCCACACATTCCCACACATACCAGCCCAACCATGATCTCGCTGGGCTCTCCACCACCGGAACCCCCATCACACACACACACACACACACACACACACGGCCTGAAGACCTTCTGTCCCCGTTTTAAGCACACCTCCCCACCACAGGGGTGAACAAGAGGAAATCCCCCAAAATACCAATAAAAGCCTTCAACATTGTCCCCATAGAATGTATAGACACCAAAGCTCTTCAAGACACCAGACAATACAGACTCCCACAGTGCACACACTGGAGCACTCCAGAGCCCCCTAGAATATATAGATGACCCCACCACTACCACTATCCCTCAAACACTTTTTGCCTTAGATAAGGACCATATACACTTATCAACCCACCAACTCACCCATAAGTCTGCTCTCTGGAAGGTATCATCCTGTTTTACAGAGGATGAAACTGAGTAAGTATAGGCACAGTGGCTCACACTTGTAATCCTAACACTCTGGGAAGTGGAGGTGGTGGATAGCCTGAGCTCAGGAGTTTGAGACCACCCCAAGCAAGAGCGAGACCTGGTCTCTACTAAAAATAGAAAAACTAGTGGGGCATTGTGGCACCTGTAGTCCCAGCTACTCTGGAGGCTGAGAAAAGAGGATCGTTTAAGCTCAAGAGTTTGAGGTTGGGTGGCGCCTGTGGCTCAAAAGGGTAGGGCGCCAGCCCCATATGCTGGAGGTGGCGGGTTCAAACCCAGCCCCAGCCAAAAAAAATGGCAAAAAAAAAAAGAGTTTGAGGTTGCTATAAGCTGAGGTTGCCTAGGATCCCACAGAGAGGGATTATACCATTCATTCCCCTACTCCTTACCCACCTGCTCTGCCCTGAACACCTTTCTTTCCTTGCAGAATTCTCTACTCCTCTTCCTCCAGCACTAACCCAAATGTGGCTTCACATCTTAAGCATGGAACATGCTGTAGGCTGGGGCCTCCTGGGTTCAATTCCAGCTCCACCACTGGACTCACAGTATGGCCTTGGGCAAGGTATTTTCCCCATGAGTAAAGTGGGATAACAAGAGCTCCTACCTTAAAGCTTATTCTGATGCTAGGGAAGAAAAATAAAATAAACTTAAAAATGTTTTTTAAAAAGAGCTCCTACCTAATAGGATTGTTGTGGGGATTAAATTAGTTAATGCAAATAGATGCTTTAAACAGTGACTGGCACTCCCTGTTACCATCTGTGTGATTAGTTGATAATTAGGTGAAAAGCCAGGAGCCTGTGAGGTCAGAGCTATTTTGATCATTCTTTTACCTATATCCTCAGTATCCTGGAGTGGCACAGATCAAAGCCTGTTTGTGAATTTAATGGGAGATGCCAAGTAATGGCCTTCTAGGTACTGAAAATATACCCAAGGTCTTTTCCCTTCAGCCACTCCTTGTGATCCTCCAGGCCTCAGCTCCAATGTTCCCTTCCTGTAGAAAGCCCTCTCCGACTCCCATATTAGGTCAGGGGCTATCTCAATCACTAATGACCCAGCACTGCCCAGCAGAAGACTAACCAAAGGAGAAGAGCTTGATGATAATAGTTGCATCCCTCCAGCCCAAGCTCTGAACCAGGTCAAAAGTGTTTCTCAAAGTGAGGGCCAAGGAACATCAGCTTATGAAAATGCAGCTTCCTAGGCCTGGTCACAAACCTACACAAGCAGAATCTCTGCAGGTAGGCCCAGGAATCTGCATGTCCCACAAGTTGAAACCTTCAGTCCTTGAGCACCACAATCTGTCCACATTATTATGCCTCCTAACTCCATCACCTGACACAAGACCCTTCCCAGCTCAGCAACCCTGCCCCATAGCACAGGGAAACTCTGAAGGGTGGCCAGCATGGTATAGAAGTAACACCTCTCAAGCACCTATGTGCTCTCCTAAGTGCCAAGTTCATATTCTTAAAGAGCATTGGTTCTCAACCTGTGGGTCGCAACCCCTTTGTAACAATGAAAATACATCCTGTATATCAGATATTTACATCATGATTCACAACAGTAGTAAAAGTACAGTTATAAAGCAGCAATGAAAATAATTTTATGGTTGGGGGTCACCACAACATGAGGAACTGTATTAAAGGATCGTGGCATTAGAAGGCATTAGGAAGGTTAAGAACCACTGACCAGACACTCTGCTGAGAAGGTCTGAGAAGCTTAGTGTGGGTATAAACAAATAACAGTAAGTCATAGAAGTGTTATGAAGAAAAACAAAGCACGTAAGGGGCCAGGCAGTAACAGACGCTATTTTAGCTTGGGTGGGCAGCAACGTCTATCTGTGAAATTGACATATGAACAGAAACCTGAAAGAGGTGAGGGAGAAGCCATGTAGACATCCCAGGGGACTAGATCCAGATGAAGGGAACAGCAGATACAAAGACTCTGAGGATGGCCGTAGCTCAGTGGTTAGGGGGCCAGCCACATACACTGGGGCTAGTGGATTCGAACCCAGCCTGGAACTGCTAAACAATAATGACAACTGCAACAACATCAAAAAAATATATAGCCAGTCGTTGTGGTAGGTGCCTGTGGTCCCAGCTACTTGGGAGGCTGAGGCAAGAGAACTGCTTACACCCAAGAGTTTGAGGTTACTGAGCTGTGACACCACGGCACTCTACTGATGGTGACATAGCAAGACTCTGTCTCAAAAAAAA